AAACACTCATATTCATTAAGTCTCTTCTGATTACCAGTCCTTAACAAATTACTACTGTAATGCTTTATGAGAAAGATGACCACATGTCAAAGTTAAGTCCCTGTTTCACATCTATTGTTCTGGAAGAATTACTATTCATTCTCAAAGGTATTCTGGAATGGATGATATACTATTCGGTCACCCCAATTTTATGAGACTTAAATAGCAGGAGTGGATTCAGAAGCCATGGCTGCCACGAGCTCAGCTTTCGACCACCCAGATGCCCTTTGACTGCCACCTGTTCTTGTGTTGTGTCCTCTGTGTGTCAGTGGCTACACTGACAAGTCACCTGGATCATGCATTATTTGAGCAGCTCTCCACAGCTCTTAAAGAGTCACTAATTCAAATCGTCTTTGGGTCTTATTACCTGATTAATTATAAATGTGTAAATAGTGCTGACAGTTAGATGACTTTATGTAGCCCATGGACTCAAATTCCCATTCTTACCAGCACTCTTTTTTAAATGGATTCATTCATTTTAGCAGAAGGGATAAAAGAGTAATGATTAGGAGTTGGGAAAATACATTCCAGCAAAGATACTGGTCCCATAAAATGTATTCGATCCAGTGACTCGTGGCTTAAACTTATTTTAAAGAAGCTCCTCCTTGAACACAATTGTATAATACAGAATATTAATGACCAGGGAGAAAGGCAGTCCTCAAGGCTGTGGAGAGACAGTGAAAGCCATATCCTTTATCTGAGGCACGCAAAGGATTTGACGTGACTCAGCGCACAATCTAAATTAAAAAACAGGACTTTTACTGTATTTGTGCTTTGGAATAACTTTGCTAATAAAAAAAAAAAACAATGTCTTACAAATCATCTTAAGAGATGACATAGTATGTTGTAAAAGAAAGGGCTTTGGAGTGAGTTAGCAGTAAATTCGAATGTTGGCTCTACTCACTGACTGTATGACCTTATTACTGTCTTAGTTGTCCTGGGTTTTGCTTTCTTCCACTGTATTATGGTACAATAGGTAAGTAATTAAAATGCATGAGAGCTTAGAATACAGTTTGTGTTCAATAAAAGTATCTACTATTGTTACTTTTATTATTAGTTATGTAAAACTCTATTATCATTACTACTATTACTCAGTTACTCAAGACAGGACTTCATATAGAACATACTTATATTCAGGATACGGGCTATAGTAGGATTTGTCTATGATTCTCTCTCTCAAAACACTGGTAAATAAACCTGAGTCTTCAAAAACCTTATTTTATTACATAAATTTCCTTCGTTCAAGAGAGATCATTGATAATGATGGCAATTCTGTATGTTGCAAATATGTATGGTAATTAGGCTTATTTAATAAAATGCAATGCTAAATGGCCTTATAATACTCAATGAATAAACAATTTCTTTTCTGATATATGCAAAATCAATTTTGATGCAGATGTATTTCTATATATCAAGACTGGTATGGAAATTTTTTTCTAACCACCCAGCTGCTACAATGTTAAATAAATTAATTTTAATCTTAAATCAGAGATGTAATAGAGAAAAGGGTGATTTAATATGCAATCTCATTACATTTGACAGGCTTATTTATAACTGATTTGCCCCACATTTTGACAAGCATAGTTAATATGTTAATTAGCTTTCAGACAGATGACGAAAGGAAAAGACTGACATGCTATCATGCTTCACACACCATGTTGGGGAGCACTGTACTTGATACCACAAGGTAGTGTTAATAAATACCGTGACCCCCAAAAAGCACTGTGATCTTGATGAAATAATTACGTATTAGCTACAGATAACTTAGTCACATTATGTTGAAAATTAATCCCTTAAAATAATCCCAAGTGACCTTCTGCTTTAGAAAACAAATGCCACTCTAAACATATTTATGAGCTTCTATACAGGAATATAAAGCTTATTTAGAGCAATGACCTCCACAGCTAGAACAGGACTTCATGACAAGTGAGGAACTAACTACATAGATAAGCTGCTTTTCACCTCTGCACTTCCCTTAATAGGGTTTATGGTTTTCAGCACTTAGTAAGCCTCTTTGGTTTAGAAGCTTAAAGATGATTTCCGACACGATGACTTTCAAAGAGTTATAGAATCCAAGAATTAAGAGAAGTTCTACACAAGACAATGTCCAATTTGATTACTCTGCCTCCTTCATGGAAGGAGACAAAGGTATCAGAGACTATGTTCTTTGATGAATGCTCACATTGCACAGTATGTTCACACCCACCATGGGGCTGTAGACCTTGGGCAGTAAATGACAATGCAGTGAGCTCTGATTTCCACCATTTGCCACCGATGTTAATGCATATGTGTCTTCAGTAATAGTTTTATTGCCTATGGCTATGTGAACAGAAAGCTGGAAACTGTAACACTGTGTAGGAATTGTTAGGTTTTAGTTACTACCCTTTTGCCCCAGGATAGTAAATGAACTGTAAAAATAGCCTGAAACCATTGCCACCTGCCTCCCTTCTATTGTCCATGGGTTAATATTTGCACTTCTCTTTCGTGCAGCTGAGCCATGACTCAATTATAGTCCCATTTCTAGGTCTTCATATAACCAGAATTGATGTCACTGGTTATGCAAAAATCAGTGCCCTGTGAATCTCTCTCTAACTGGAAAAACATGTACATTTTACCTGACATATAGGATAATAACATAATGGCTTTTAGAAAATAGCTTGGGATGAAATCAAATTCAGAATGACAGGCGCAGCATAGACAAAACTCAGATTTTAGGGCTTGGGAATGAAGAGCCAAGAAGCATAGGAAACAGCTCAAACAACACTTTTTATTACTTGCATTGGCCAATGAATAACCGTTGCACGCAGACAAAAAGGCATTTGGGGTCTACTATTTTGTATCTGTGTTCCTCATCAACTTAAATAGCAGTCTTCTTCTAATGCTTCACTATGTCTGTTTAAAGCAAATGGGCAGAAAGTACCCAAGCCTCCTTCCTTCAGAGAATGAACACACACATGCAAAAAAAAAAAAAAAAAAAAAAAAATTGGGAGCAAGGGATTGGGGGAGTGGGGGGAGGCAAAGACTGGAAATCAAATACTAATTCTCTGAAACAGACATATTAGCAAGTCACAATCCATGTGGCTCTTTGTACTATAAACAGCACTTATAAGGTTTGGGAAAAATTAGCCAATAGTGTATAAAAAACAGCTTCTCCCTATTATGAGGGTAGAGTCTTAACTGAATTGCCAAGCACAATGACAAACCTGGCTCCAAGCCACACATATTTCCAAACTATGTCCTATTAGCGGAGTCCTTAACTGACCTCACTGAAAGGAAACCCAGAATTTCCATACTAAAAAAATACAGAAAACCACTCCGTAACTCAAGAATATTAAGTAATGATTATTTGCATAACCTAGTATAAAGTATAAAGCGGAAGGGAGGAAGGGAATTAGAAAGTCAGTAACGAATACCTTGATGCATTAGAAAGTCAGTAACTAATACCTTGATGCATTCTTTGACCTTTATTTCCAATTTCTTCCTCCATTACAACTAATGATCAAAATGTCTTTTTTGCCCATCCCCATTTTGTGGGGGAAAAGAAAAATCCATGTAAAAAAAATTCTGAAGAAAACCAACAAAAAAGCCAGGAAGTGGGATGAAAAAATAGATTAGCTCAGCTCCTCAGTGAGAGGTGGTCATCCTTCTTTTCAGTGTTTTGGAATATGCATTGTGGTATTAGACTTACTAAAAGGCATCACAAAATTTATGGCAATGGATCTTAGGCTGTTTGATGACCCAGATTCTTTCATAGCTTTATCAAAAGCTAAACAGTCTACAACCCATAAAAATATTCATGTGTACACAAAAATTAAGTTGTATATAATTTCAGTGGTTTCAAAGATCCTGAAATCCCATTCCAAGGGGGTTTGCTGAAACCTAAATTAAGAAAATCTAAACTATGCCCTACCTCACAAGGAACTTGTTTTCCAACCATAAAATATCTGAACCACAAACATAAGAGAAGAAGCCAGACCTCATCACAGCCTCATTTACTAAAAGCCAAGATAACTGAGAGCAGAGCTGTGAAGTAAGCACATGGCAGTAAGGTAAACAAAATGTGCTGAAGTTTTATTGAGGTCATAAACGTTAATGAACATGTAGCTGAATCCTGTATACGGGGCACAGTCATTCATGGAAGATGATTCCTGCTAGAAAATAACCATGTGCTATGTAAACTATTTTGCTTTAAACACAATTGAGAGTCTAGAAAAGGATTTTTTTTTCCTATTAATAAAGGACATTTTCAGGAACCACTAGTAAGCCTTTCCTGGGTGCTAACAATTATTCCCTTATTTGATTATTTGATTCAGATTACACTGGACTGGGAACTCACTGGTACTGCATTATTAATAATAAGTATGCATTAAATCTCACCAGTCGTTGGGCCTCCTATGATTGGTTTTTAAGTTTTACTAAACCATCATGTGAAACTGAGACTCTACTGAAATTAAATTTACTGTGACCCTTTAAAAGAGTAGTTGTTTTATTTCATTTGGATAATTGGCACCAACAGTTTTCAGAAGTACACTGCACCAAATTAGGTGCCTGATAGTGACACCAAACTTTTCAGACCACTTATCTGAGCTTTATTGTGAACTTAAATGTGCTCACTACTCCTTCCAACCCATACTGTTGTTTGGAGATTTAAATATATGTCCTTGTTATAAAATAAAGCAATAAATTAAGACCCTTAGGGAAAACAAAATCACTGCACTGACAGTTAGAAAAATGTCTCTGCTCCTGTCCATCAAGAACCATTACCGGACCCCATCTGCAAGGCAGCCTCTGTTTAGAGAATAGTTGCAATCATGTTTTTTAAAAATCCAGCATCATTGCCACACACAGGCAAATGCTCCTCCACCATTAATCTTCATTCAAACTGTTAGAATGTTTGTCTAGGCTTGACCCAGACCAAGCACAAGAGATAGATTAGCTAGAGAAAAGCTTCTATTTCTCACCACATGTCAAGGCAGGTAGAATATTCAGTGGAGCCCAGGAGGACATCTGGAGGTCTGTACCATAAGGTAACCACTTCATTGGAGTATGTGTGGCTAGGGACCGATTTTGCTCTTGCAAGACCTGTGGGTTACATAAAACATAAAGAAGTTTAATAAGCATTAATGGAACAAGGGAATTTAAGTTTGAATGTTCACAGAGTTAAAGGTCAAACATGGCATTGTAATACAGAATCACGAATTCAATGTCAAGGTTACAAGAAAAGTCTACCTGTTTCAAGCACATGCTAATAAATGGTTTACATTCATAATAAAGCATGGTGAATTTAATAAAATCCCAGGAGAGTGAACAAATGATTCACCAATGGTTAGATATGACACAGAAGCACAGAAATCTTCTGGACTTTCCCAAGAATGTTTCACGGAACTCTAGTTCTGAGAGTTATAAATAATGTTATTAGAAAGGATTCTACACAGTGAGACTTCTCAGTGCCCTCAATTTTCCTAACATGTACTGTGAATCTGAAAGAAGACAGTATGACAGTTTTCTCAAGGGATATTCCCAAAACTTCTTTTGATTTCAGTGTTCTGTTAAACATTCACTAGGAAATGCTGAGTCAGGAAGCTCATTTGAAAACTAAATAAATAAATAATTATAAAGGAATAGTTAATTAAAATGTTTTCTAAGAATTTTTTAAAAACTGGGAAAATGGTACAATAATATGTTAGCCGATAATGTATGCATAGTGTGACCTCACAACCATACTTACGCATAGGAAAAAGAATGACAGAAAATACAGTTTTCCAAGTTTTCTGCGATGACTATGATTCTTTTTGAAGCACAAAATCTAAAGATGTTATTTTTTAAAAGAAAAAATCTGTGTGATAGCTTTGTATCTGGGTATGTTCATTAATGACAAGTGTAAAGTATTACTTATCACTGTGATGCTCAAAGCACATATAATATTTTTATAATATTTTACCATAAAAATTCTTTTTCATGTTCTGCTTATTTAAATTTTTTATGTAGTACTTAGAAACATGACTTTTTCCTGTTTATTAAACACTGGGTATTCCCTTTAGTATATTCTATGTAAATGTTAAAATTAATAGGACAGTTGGTGAGAAAAAATTTCTAATTAATTCAGCTATGTTCACAGTAATTCAATTTTTCTCCAATGAAGTTTCTATAATAATAGCATATTATAAGTTGGTTATTGTTTATAAGTATTCCATATTAAACTGTACAGATCATAAAGGCACATACATAAACATATGTGGTCCCCAATTTTTTTGCACATAAATAGAATAACTATGTTTGATAACAGATTTCTGAAACTTCTACTTCTTTTCTTTTTTAATTTATAGTAATAAGACATTTATATACCTTATGAAGTGATCACCCCGAAAAGTCTAATAACCATCGGACACCATACATAGTTATTAAAATATTATTGACTATATCCGCTATGCTGTGCTTTACATTCCTGTGACTATTTTTATAACTGGCAATTTGTACTTCTACATCTCTTTCACCTTTCCTCTGCAAGGTTTTTTCTACCTCAATTCAGGCAAAACTGAACAACAGACAGGACAATTAGAGTGGTTGTGTTTCCAGAATTTAGTATTCCCATCAAAAGGTTTAGTTCCTCAAATGAGCATGTTTCTACACAGAGACCAAAGAGCTCAGCACAAGTCCTGAAACAGGTTCTGACTAGTTCCATATGCTGTTGTCAAGTCAAAAGGGATGCCAACAACACTCCGGCTGGATTCCCTTGGCTTTCCTGAGGCCCTGTTGACAGAAAGCGAGGCCAGAGGGGTGGGAGAATGAAAACATCTGAGGTTTTCTTTGACAGCTCAGAAAACAAGGCTAGTGATAGAAAATTATGATATTCTCAGTTTTAAAGGGAGAACATGGCCTCGAAATAACTTAAAAATAGTGTACACCTGAATAATGGTATGTGATTTCAGGTCAATTATGTTCACTCTAAGTTTATAAAACTGGCTAAATATATCTGGAAAATATAAATAGAAAAGGCTTTGTCTACATTATTTTCCTCCTTCCCATATGTTTAGGTCAAGGACTGCCCAAGCTCCATTCATATAGGCCACACAACTTCCCGAATTGACAGTGAAAATGAGTTTTCCATTTCAAACTCTTCAATGTGCTAAGACAGTTTCTTCTTAAAATGATTTGCATTAAAGGTGCCATGTATTGAAGAATGTTATAATTTTAAGATACAGTCTTCTGCAATGTTTGAGAAAACACATCATCTTACTTTAATAAAATCAATTAAAACTGTTTCTGTGGAAAGTGTTCTGTGTATTGATAAATAATATTTCTATTCAGTTAAAAAGATAAATAAATCTCAAAACTTTTCAGAGAGGAGGAAAATATTAAAACAATGATTCAAAAAAAATAAAGTACACTTTGAAGTAGGAATATATAACTGTACTTTTTATAAATATTTTTGGTAAAGATATTGCTATGTATTTATACAGTTCATGCATCCAAACACACTTACTCATGCAAAATTTATTGAACTGCATCCTCCAGCTGAAGGAAAACTGTAGGACAGGATTAATTAGCACAGCATGTGTGAAAGCTTTCTTTCTCTGTTCCTTGTCAGTTGCTATGGTTACACTACAGGAAGAGAACTACACTACCTTTTAAAAAGGATGAAATTCATGGGTTATTATCAAAACTTCTTGCATTAATGTTTAGTGTGAATTAAAAGTCAAAAAGCAAAGTGAAATGCTAACCAGATGAGTCCAGGTTGCCTAAGTGGGTGCGCATATGAACAGGTGCACGTTGCTACAGGCACCTAAAATGGCTTGTGTAACAATTCAGAGAATCTGACTTTAAGATGTTACCATTTCTAACTAATCAAAGACTCTAAAGTACAATAAAAAAAAAATCCTCCTATTCAAGCCCTATTGCCAATTATTCAAAGATAGGCAACCTTGATACTAGCTAGCACAGCAGAATTCTAGACGAGTTCTGAAGATTTATAGTTAACCTTTTACCCAATGAAAGGATTCCTTTTCATACATCTTTAAGATGGTTAGCCAACATCTTCAGCTACCCTGAGCCTGGTTCTGCCCTCTACCAGGGACACAGAAGAAATCACATGGCTTCTAACATTTGCCCTAAGCTGACCAGTCACCCAGTATCAACCAATGGAGTCTCTCTAGACCTTAATACCTCTCTCAGCTGCAGTGGATGTTTTTGACCGCTCCTCTTCTTTTAAGTCTACTCCCTTGACTCCTCAGATATAAAAGAGTTGACAGGAATGACTTGGTTTCCTTCTGGGATCTTCTTCTATATGCCAGTTTTGTCTGGAGCTATATATTCAAACCAGGGCTTTCTCAAATGCATACACTCTGTAGGTTACTGTGGCTAGTGCCGTGTTTTGACGGTCATGGACAGGTGATTTCTCACAAGATTTCATCTCCAGCTTCTACTTGTCCATGGGCTTCAGATCTGGGTCTACCCTATTCCTCAGCAGACGCAGGACGAAGAATGTCCTGCAGGCACCCCACACAACCCCAACCCCAAGTCCCTACGGCCATCTCCACCATGAATATAGGGCACACCCCCTCCTGAGTCCAGGAGTAAATGCACATCCCTAGTACACTGCCATAGATTCCCCAAAACAATAAAAGTTTATTTTAGCCATACATGGATACACATTAGATTTTATATTCCATGGGCTTCTAATTATTCTTTCAAATTCCAATGCATCCTTTTTGCAGGTGGTAAAATTACTTGGAGACTTTGAGTAACCTCTCCAGTTCAATGGAGAAAAATCACTAAGCTCAGGATAGGGGTTCCACGATGATAATGCCCATGTCTTTACTTTGACTAAGGGATTGAAAAAGAACTGGTAACATCGACTTTTTTCTAATTAAATGGAATAATGGCAAAAGCTAGATGAATTTGCAAAAGTCAACTAAAATAAGATATAAAGGAGTATCTTTCACAACTTCGGTCTTTCCAGAGAATGGGCCACTTTTTGCTGCTTGTCACTGGTTTCTCTTTTTTGTTGTTGGTTTTGATCAGAGCAACTCCCACACCTCTCTCTCAATGTACCTTTTCCCCAAACTGAACAATCAGAAAATGAAGGTTATGTTCTTAGCTCATCACAAAATCAATCTCTCTGGGCCAGGGGCTTCTTTCTTCACAACTTGAATCCAAACAGACAAGAAGTATTTGGGTAACAGTTCACCCCCTGGCAGTTAGGCGAGAAAGAGGGAGACTCTCTGTTGCATGAATCAGTCCCTGGAGAAGAGCGCAGGGAGGCTTTTCTATTTCTTTTCCCATTCCACAGTCCTGGAGGAAGGGGGGTCAGGAATTTCTTTTTTCATACCAATTTATGCAGTCCTCTCCCTCCTAGAGAATCTACATTAAGTATCTTAGGAGGTATTAAAGCTATTTGAAAATCCTTTATTGCTACTATTAGAGTATATCAATAAACCACCAAATCAAAACAAAAAGTCATTTTTTTTCTGGTGTTTCCCCCCATTCTGGCTTTAACCTCTTTCTTCTCTGCTTGGCCAAGTTTCCTGGATGATCTTATTTCATCCTGTGGCTCTAGTACTATCTATATGTAGGTGATCTCAAATACATTATCTCTAAAATTAATCTTTCCCTAAATCTTTAGATTTCTCCATAAAAAATAGCCACTTAGATTTTCCACAGCTATCTTGAACATAACTCACCACTAATCATTGTCATCTATCCACACCAAAGCTAGGAGTCTTATTTCATTATAGGATATTTCCACTTAAAAAATTACAAAGTTCAATGGATTTTACTTTACAATTTCCCTCTTTGCTTCCTCATCCATAGGTATTCCTCATCATCTCTTACTGGATTGTTACACTAGCCTCGTGTCTGTCCATGACAAATAGATATCAACTTCAAAATATCTTTTAAATCTAGACAAAAAGAAATTATTTACACTTATTAAAATTATTTTATTGAAAATCAATTTAATTGAAACACTTAAAAATTTTTTTTAAATTGATTTTAGAGAGAGAGGAAGGGGAGAGAGGAAGTGAGAAACATTGACTGGTTGCCTCCCATATGCGCTCCAACCAAGGATCGAACCCACAGCCTAG